TTAATCCATTTGGCAGTCAATGTATAATATCTTTTTCTCATATTTGCTTTGTGCGAGGATCTATATGAGATAATAATGCACTCTATATTTCCAACTGTTTATTCTCTCCCCCTCATGTTGGGAAAGACTGATAACAATAATCCACTAAATCTCTAGTTATTATTTAAGGAGATTCATATCCAACATATATTCCCAGCCATATTTGGGATTCATCTTTGTGCTTTATGGTGGAGTAATTAGAATATAAATCGTACATCTAAAAATTATTTGGCTCCTGACCATAAGCCAATGTGACGGGAGATGATAACTTATTGGCATAATGCGCACAAGTACTGCAGCATAAAATATAGTATATCCCCATGCAAGAATATAGATCTTTGTTCTCATAAGGAATATTCTAGCAATCAATTGGAGACATATAAATTCACCAGCATTATGAAGACGAGTTGTCTTTATTATATAACATAGGAATTGTTCTCTTAATATTATCATTTGAGCAAACAACCTCACAAATATCAAGATGTGAGTTAATAATGGATATACATGTGGCCATTTTGTAGATGCATCTATTAAATTCATATATTTTAAAAGTTCACATGATGGGTGAATGGGCCCATATATTTCACCCTATAAGAATTTTAAAAATGAGATTAAATCTCAACTTTAGCCAGTGATAATTTCTCTTGAGAACTAGCAGTACAAGAAAATTCAATAAATTGAAGAATCTCCTAGTTCTTCAATGTGTGATCATATGAATTTTCAATAAATTTTCACAACACATTTGATCCGGGATGGTCCAGCTGGTCATGCCAATTTTTGATTTACCAAGGCATATTTTTTAAATCAATTTTGTACTTTCGGTTATTATGTTGACATTGCCTTTTTCCATTATCAAATAAGAGGAATATCCATATTCTTCATTAGAATAAAATAATATTCTTCATTAAAATAAAATAAAATACATTAAAAGACATGTAGATGAAAAGAAATAAAAACTAAAAGAAGAATTACATTTAAAAGAAACAAGCTAATTAAATAACATGATATTAATTATTATTATCAAGGAAGTCTGTAACATCCAGATGTGTAATATCTGTGAGTCCAGCAAAATCATCTTCAAGATTTGCTTCAATATCATCAATTTTGAATGTCAAATTTGTCTCCACATTATTTTCTTTCTCCTTGTTGAGCTTAATAAAGCTTGACAAAATATTTTGGAGTACGACAAATTCGTGCCCAATGCTATGGCAGATATTATCTTTACTCCTTGAAGAGTTACTTTGAGGACCCTTGTTGTTCTCTTGTTTATTTCTGTAGTGGTGTCGATAAATATTTGGCCTATTTCCTTGCCCACGTCCACGACCCCGTCCTTGGCCACGAACTCGACTATAATTTTGTCTCATTTCAAAATTATTATGAGTTGCTACCTGACTATAATTTTTTCTCCTTTCAAAATTATTATGAGTTGCTACATTCACTTCAGGGAATGGAGCAGATCCAGTGGGACAAGCTTCATAATTTTTCATTAATAGCTCATTATTTTGTTCAGAGACAAGGAGATATGATATAAATTCAGAATATTTCTTAAAGCCCTTTTCATGATATTGTTGTTGCAATAACACATTTGAAGTTTGAAAAGTGGAATTTTTTTTTTCCAATAAGTCCTCATCAGTGATATTTTCTCCACATAACTTTAATTGAGAACTAATTTTAAAAATTACAGAATTGTACTCGCTTAAAAATTTGAAATCTTGCAATCTCAAATGCACCCAATCATAGCGAGCTTTAGGCATAATGATCGTCTTTTGATGGTCGTATCTTTCTTTTAAAATATTCCACAATTCTAGTGGATCTTTCACAGTCAAATGTTCAACCTTTAATCCTTCATGAAGATGATGATGAAGGAAAATCATGGCTTTTGCCTTATCTTGATTGGATGCTTCCTTTTCTTTCATAATTGTATCCCCAAGACCTTTAGCATCAAGGTTGATTTCAGCATTAAGGACCCATGCCAAATAATTTTTGCCCGTTATATCAAGAGCAGCAAATTCAAGTTTTGCAAGATTTGACATGATGCTATCTAATATAAAAGAAAAGAAGGGTTAAAATAAATTTTGTTTTGTACACAAGGTGTATAACATGTATAAATAAGACAATATTTGGTACAATAATATTTGAAATATTCTAATAAGGTAACCTTATATCATAAATTTGAATGTAACAATATCATTAATGCTGAAATAAAATGGTAACTTTAAATTATGAATGTAATAATATTCCATATCAATGCTAAAATGGTTTCAAATTCAAATCACTTTATAACATTTTTTTTAAGCAATAGTTTTAAATCATTTTAATTGTTATTAATTCCTTACATATTAAAATCACAATCATAATGAAGATCACAATTATAATCATTAACATATTTATAGAAAATGTACTAACAGGTTTATAGAGGTGGTGGTGGCACAGTGCTAGTGATGGGTGGAGGTGATGGTAATGGTGGCGGTGACATCGTGGTGGTGAAGGGTTGTGACGGCGGCACTAGTGGTACGATGGCGGCGGCGACGATGGTGGCGACAGTCGTGTCGGGACGATGGTGGTAGTGGTGATGATGGTAGAGGTGGATAGTGATTGAGAGAGATAAGTGTTTCTTATTTTGAGCCCGGGAACAAAAAAACATAATTTTTTTGATTCTTTTTCTGTTCCCCAGCACCAAAATTAAACCGGTTCATCCCGAGAACAAAAAAATAAATCGGTTTTACCAAACGAGTTTCCTATCCATTTCTGTTTCCGGAAACATAAATTAAAAAAGAATTAATTCCGAGAAAGTTGTCATGCGCACCCTATATGTACAAACGGATCATAATTAAAAGAAAAATATAGTAAAGCTGGGACGACACATACCGTACAATGCAACACAATCGGTTGAGTCATATCGCAATATTTTTTTTTATGTGGATAGCGATTTGATGATCATTGTTTAAAACTAATTTTTTTTTTATGATCCAATTTGTTGAATAATATTGTAAAGTCGAGAAAAATAATAATAATAATAACAAACAGATCGTAAAGTGATTGCTTTATCAACAATAATAATCAATAATAAAAAAATTAGTTATACATAAACACTAATAATCACAAGATCGTAAAGTAGAATCATATGTATATGTACAGTGATTGCTTTTTTGAGAAATCAAATTAAATAAAGCATAATCATGAAAGATGCAACATAAAAAAAATAGAATGAACAGAGAAGAGACAAATAGAGTGAACTACCCACAAGATCTCTTTCGGATTGTAATTCTCTTTTCGGGCAGAGCTTCGTGCTGATATGTGTTATAATAGATAAAGATAGTTAGAAAAGAGATAGGGAGAATATGTTCTTATTATCTATTCATATATCCATGATGCTTTGTACATGTTTTATTTATGGGAAAAATGTTTCTGCAGTTAATGCAGTAACTTGTCTACATTTATTCCCAAAACGACGTCGTTTTGGTATTGAAATCTTAAAAAAGTATAAATATAAAGACTATTATAACCCTGAAATAAATTAAAATTACAAAAACACCATGATTTCTGTCCCAAAACGATGTCGTATTGAGTTTACTGCAGATAACTTATCTGCACTGCAGAAAAAGCGAACCCTTCAATTATAGGCTCAGAATACATAAAAGTTATAATAATATCATTATCTACAATTATTTCTCCAACGGTCATAATTTCTCTAACGATCATAACTTCTTCAATGATCATAATATCTTCAACTGCCATATAATATGGACAACCAATAAATGGTTTATAACAAAAATATCTTTATTAGAAGTTTTTAATTATTTTAATAACATCTCTAATAAAAATATTTAAGCTTTGAAATTTTTATTATATACTATTAAACATTGAAATTTTTTATGTTCATTATCCTAATAAATTATTAGCACATTAAATTATTGATATAGTATTCATAATTAAATATCATAGATAATAAATGATTAATTACCATAATCAATAATGTGCCAGTAATTTATTGGCCTAATACAATTGACACCACGTTATGCTTAAATATACTACTTCAACTATATAAATTACTATTATCTTTAGCTTTGAACTATATTTTTCTTAACATGGGTAATTTGACACCCATTTCATATTACTGCTAGGAACACTTAAAAGGTTTTTATACATACAAATATTGAGAGATTCATCATAAAATTCACCATTCATAAATAAATTATTTTGGAATTATATGATTGGCTGGTTACAGTGACCAATTTCTAACCAATTTTTGGGGTTTCATTCATTTATGTTGGCGGGTCCCACTCTGCCCGTGTTGTAAAACCCGGTCCGACCCGGCCGGGTCGAACCGGAACCCGGTGACCCGGTCATCGGATCAGTTCGCGTCAAGCATTGGACCAGTCATGCATCGATCCGGTCAAATTCGGTCAAAACCCAGACAAAATCGGCCAAACCCAGTGATCCAGTGACCCGGTCGGGTCATACATTTAAAAAAAAATCAAAATTGTTTTTGTCAAAAAAATGTAAAACTCATTTTAATTTTTTTTTAATCTTATTTGCTAGTATATTCTTCTATATCGACCTCAAATTTCAGCTTCCAATACTGAAGCAATTTATGAAATAATAAATTAATAGATTGTGACATATGTCATTTTTAATGTAGTTGAATTTGAAAAATATGAGTTCAATGTCATTGAGAGGTATGTTTAGGAGAATTTTGAGTTGCAATTTAAATTGACATAACAATAGCATGTATTTTTATTTATTTATGCTTCATGTTTTTTTTAGCTTATTTAATGAATCTTATTTAATTTATTTTAAATACGAAAAATATAATTAAATTTATATGTTGATAATTATATATATTTTTGTATATATATATATATCCAGGTCAACTAGTTTGATCAATGATCCATTGATCCAACCAGTGACGCAATGACCCAGTACCGCGAGCCGAGTTTAATAACACTGCCATTGAGAAAGTATGGCGAACTTGCGGTCACCATTTTCCCAGCCAAGTCTTCCTCTTTCCTTCTTCAGCTGCTCGTGTTCGCCGCAGATTTAGCAGATGTACCACAACAACTACAAGTAAGTGGATCATATTCTGAGCCCAATTATCCTTCAAATTTCTAAAGTGTTCTATTGGGTGATTCTTTCTTTCTTTCTTTTTGGGTCAAATGGGTGTTTATTTATAACTCAAGAAAATCAAAGAAACCCGATTCTTCCTTTTTCTGTATTTTTTTCTTTTTAAAGCTGTGGAGTATGTGGTGAAGTACTTATCTTCAAATGGGTATGTGGAAGTTTGAAGTGGGAATGTTCTTTGTGTTTTTTTTCAATTTCTGTATTTTCGTAACTGTCGAAGGTAGCATCCAGAGTGCTGTTGCTTGATCAAACAGTGAATTGTTCAAATTTGGTGACTTGGTTCTGAAACGACCCATGATGAATTAGGATATGTTCAACCTAGTTGTAGTTTTGATGTAAATATGTGGTTTTTTGATATTTCAATATGCACAAATTTTAATTTGGTATAGGTTTTTTTTTAAAAAAAAAAATTGAAATAAAATTATTTAGCTATTTCTTAAAATATGAGGAAAATTTTGAATTTTGGGATAACTCTTTTTCTTTCTTTGGGTTAGAAAAAGATTTAGCTGCTTTTCTGTTTTCTGTTGGCAGGTTAACAGAATATTTGCTGCTGTGGTAGTTGTCTGTGTAATTTGGTGATGATACAAGTTTTGTCCTCAATGAACTTGGGGTTTCTTAGTAATACCCCTTGGTTTAAACCTCAATTGAATACAGATTCGGTGACCAAAGCTTTTACTGAAGAACCTAAACAAGAATCTGGTAATGATATCAAATTGTCTGGGTGGCCCTTGTCCTTCCTATCATTGCTTCCTTGGGCAAATAATGGTGGTGATAAATCTCATAGACCATCTACTATCAATAAAGAGCTAAAGAGGCATGCACAAACTCGTGGGAATGTTGTTGGAAAAGATAGTGGGGCTACCCCTTTACGCTTTAGGCCATATGTTTGTAAGGTTCCATGGCATACAGGGGTTAGAGCATTTCTTTCTCAATTGTTCCCTAGATATGGGCATTACTGTGGACCAAACTGGTCAAGTGGTAAAGATAGTGGATCTCTGGTTTGGGACAAGCGACCAATTGATTGGTTGGATTTTTGCTGTTATTGCCATGATATAGGGTATGATACTCATGATCAAGCCACACTGCTAAAGGCTGACTTAGCGTTTCTTGAGTGCGTGGAGAAGCCGCATATGAGTACTAAAGGAGACCCTCAAATTGCTCATCTTTACAAGACAATGTGCATTAATGGTATGCCCCGGAGCATGTTAGGGATATAATACATAAACTTACTAAAATGCTTTATACATCAAATATTGTTTTTCCTTTAGGGGGTGTTTGGTAGAGGGTTTATTTTCAGATTCCTGAAAAAGTGAGGGTGGTATTCCAATTTGTCCATATTTTATAGAAGTTTTTTGCAAAAATTTCCGGGAATGTGATTTTCTTGGGATTTTGTTTTGTGTGTAAAATGTAAACCAAAATACCACACAAACTTTCCTGGGAAAATGAAAAAAATTAGATGTGAGCATTCTGACAAAAATCTTGGTAATATTTTGACCTAGGGAAACTCATTTTCATTCCCAGGAATCGTAATTCTCGAGTAAAAAAAAAAATTTCCTCTACCAAACACCTTTCCTTATCCCTCGTTATGGATTAATAATGTTATGCTTTGCTGTTATGAGAGGAGCTGCTTTTGAGCATGTGTACTGACTTTTCCTCTATGAATGACAGGTCTTAAGAATTTTCTAATACCTTACAGAAGGCATCTTGTGAACCTACAACAGTCTGGGCAACCTTTCATTCAATTTGGATGGCTAAGCAATTTGAGATGGAGAAGTTGGAACTTTCAGAAAACATGGAGATTGAGCTGAGTGGGGGAAAGTAGTGAGTCATAAAATGTGAATTTCATCTAATTTTGAATGCATGCTGCATTGTCACCCTTAATCTTCGTAGTTCCGTTTGTTTTAGGCTTCTGTTTGCCAGAGCATGCTTCTTATTGTTACGATCTTCACATTTTGTATATTGTATATCGTGTTCATAGCTTGTTTTGTAAATTGTAACCTTTGGCGTTGCTTGACATATTCTAACATAACAAGATTGTCTGTGGTATAAGATCCGGATGTCACAAAGTAACTCTGTTATTATAAAAATTATAAGGTTGTGAGTTGTGACTTATTACTTTGTGCACATATTTGAAGCTCTATGATTATATCAAGTTTGTTTTTCTAACGAAATTTTGGCAAAGAACAGCCTGGAAATAATATAGGCTTGGAAATCATTAATTATTCGTCGCCACTTTCACACCTATTGCAATTTGCGCTTCTACGCTGAATATCCTTTTTGTAGTTGTTTTATTGGTTTAAAAAAAATCTATACTGTGGTTGATTCTGCATGTTATATGGAGTGCGCCAAGATTTTTCTAGACTAAAAGGAAAGTTTTATATAACACTTTTGTAGAACAACAGTGAAACCTCTAATGTTATATGAAATTAGTCAGCACATAAGTACATGAGCATAAAATAAGAGTATTGGAAATGAGAATGTTAAGGTGAATATATGCTCATACAAAGATGGAGGATGATGCACCCGAGTTAACTCACTTGGATTGAGCTTTTTCATAATTTATTTCATAGTTTAGGTTTTTTCAATAATTGTTAATTATTTCTCTTTTTGTTATTTTTTGATTTTGTTGAATGTGCGTTATTTCCTTTGATTGTGCATGATTTCTTTTTGATTCTGTTTATTTTGTTTTGTCTATTTAAGGTTTCCAGAATCCTATTGTTATTTGATTGTTTTTGGTTAATAAAATACAAAAAAGAAAAATAGTATTTTCTTGTAATTCTTGTATCCAGTCTTTCTTTCTGTTTAGCTAATTGGTTACGAGCTTACGACATTAGATAATACGCGTCTCCTCTATGACCGGATAGAGTGCATGCCTACAAAGCTATGTGAAACGAGCACTATAAGTAGAGCCCGTTTAGATGAGATTTAAAAAAGGATTTTTTATGACTTACTTTATTTAGAATTTTTTTTAAAAAAAGTTAAAGTTATTTTACGTTTGGATGGAATATATAAAAAATACTTTTAAATAAAAAAGTTATTTCAATTTTAAAATTAATGTGTTTTTATATATAAAATTACTAAAATGGATATGTGATTGTGGTAATAATGAGGTGGAGTAGTTGGAGTAAAGTTGGGATAAAATTGAATTATCAAAAAGGTTGTGATCCCTTAACTTAATTAGTAGTACCCCTAAAGTCCACTCCTTCGACAAACTACGAGTTTATTTAACTTTTGGCTTATATTTTTTTTTTTTAGAAGTAAAGAATCTTGACTTAAAAAAAAAATCACTATTTTAACTTTTTTTAATTCTTTTTTATTTTATTTTATATAAGTTGCTATTCAAACGCATGAAATGACTTAAAAGGATATTTTTTGAAGAAAAAAAGTATTTTTGTTTTAAAACACTCAATTAGAGACCAACATGCCCTTTTTTTATATAGTAAAAAGAAGAGGCCTAAGTCCAGAAAACAACAAAAATACTACATAACAGTAACAGTAGCATCTTTTTCCAATAATGACCCCAAACCAACGAGGACACTAGAAAGAATAACAAAATGATTCTGGTATTGGAACACAGCTTTAGCAAGCCAATCCGCACAAGCATTCTCTTCCCTGTGAACATGGAGAAAAACTATTTGCCAATCCTTGTCCAACCATTTATGGATAACTTATGTTAGAGAATGATGAGAACTATCACCCCTTTGAACAAATAGGCCCTGAAGAGCCTGGAGTGAATCACTCTCTACAATGAGGTTCTGGGCTTTCAACTCCCAAACAAATTGGACACCTTTGAAAATGGCCTAGAGCTCATCCGTTAAAGAGTCACACCTGCCAATTTTATAGACAAATCGTAACTTCCATCTGCCATGATCATCCTTGAGGAGTCCCTCACACGAAGCTAGGCAGGGGTTATTCCCCATAGCAGCATCAGCATTAATTTTCCACCAACCATAGGGTGGAGCTCTCCACCTCACAAGCTGTCTCACTGAAGGAGTCCCCATGGGGTTATCCTGTCTAGTAGAAGCTTGTCTGATATCTGAAATATAATTCACGATAAACAGTGAAGGATTGATGGGTCTGGTAAAGTGCGGCTCATGAATTTCTTTATTCCTCCAATTCCATAAGAACCAGATGGTAGCAATGAAAATGTCTTGCCAGTCTATGAACTGAGGGTGAGGCCAACCCTTAGTTAAATTCTTGCTAACCCACTCATCTTGAGACGTGGTCAGGAAGTCAGGCGGAATAGAACCTGTAAAACAAGTCCTCTACAAAGGCAAAGCTCTTTTACAGACTCTCAACACATGAATAATGTTTTCAACTTTATACAAACAAACATGGCACTGAGAGGAGCCACCCCAGTTAGAGGTGGTGTTTCTGGTTAGAGCATAACACCTAAATATTTTCGTAATGACTCAGCAAACTTGAAACCACTGGCTTGGGTTATAGATGCCTTAATGGAGGGATCAGTATTCTTAGACAAATAAATAACTGTCTTCTCTATACTCACAACTTGGCCGGACATATCGCAAAAGGAATTGAGATAATCTAGCATCACCTCCAATTGGACAAGACTAGCTTCACCAAAGTGAACTAAGTCATCAGCAAACATGAGTTGCGAAATAAGAGGGCCATCAACGGTTAGATTTAACTATTTCAGTAATCAAATGAGAAAGCTTGTCCATTCACAGAACAAACAAATACGGGGAAATGGATCTCCTTGGCGAATTCCCCTAAAAGGAATAAAGGAATTAGATCGACATGCCCTGAGTCTGCTCTAACCGCTCAAACTCATTTGCTAATGCATCTCGAACACTCTTAGGAAAAAAATGAGCAAGAATAACTAAGTAAAATCATGTCATGCAATGAAGTTGATCCTATTGGCCTCCCATGTAATATACCTATTAGTCACAAGTCACACCCTCCAATTGAAAATGATGTGAATTCCACTGTCTAATTTATGAACAACCCAAAGCTCTACAAAGCCTCTCTATCCCATAAAGGAATCGATGTGGATCTTCCCTTGCACTAGACCCAAAAAAAAATAGGAGGTTTGATCTTCATAATCTCTACTAATGTCACTTTAATCCCCCTAGTTATAGCTGCTACCCCTGCCTATCCTCAAATCGAGGTTCATGTATTATGGGAGGTTGGTCCTCATGTTGTTGCTTCCCTACAATTAATCCAACAAGTTGTTGCAATCTAACTCAGTTATCGCAAGGTCACCTCCCCTTGCTCTAGAACCCCAACATTGGCTGCCCTTATAGCTATTCAACCTCCAACTCGACCTCAACCTCTAAGAGCCGGATCTTGAACCTGAATAGAAAGTTCATCAGAAATTTCCTCCTTATAAGATATTCTAATTCTGGGTAGCATCTTCACCTAATAAAAGAATATTTGTCAAATAAGAAAAAAGAATATGGAAGGAAATTAAGAAAATGAGAATAAATTCAAATTGACAATTTAGAAAGAAACTTTGGGATGAGCATAGGGTGCTAGTAGCTTCTTGTAAGTACATTGTGCCCGACACACAAATTACTAGCAAGACTATCATCACCCTTTTTCCACGGCTTTTCTTTCTTTCCTCTCAGTTTCCTTCTGTGCTTTCTCACTCTGTTTTCCTCTTTTCTTTCTTTCATCCATCAGTGTGCATGTATATATAAGCAATATGCTAACTTCTTGACTAAGTAATCGTAAATAAAAATCTAACTCACTGTGCGAAATTGAGAGTTAAGTGAGTCAGGGTGTGAATTTTGTGACTGTTAAGAAAATTCTGACACTTGAATCATGAAACTATCATGATGATGGATGTGAGCACACAATTCATGCCTAACAAGTCAATTAGGACCTAAAAAGAACATAAGTTGCGTTTAGAGACAAAAATACATAATTTGTGTTTACGAGTGTATTTTGGTAATTTTGCAAACTAGGTCTGAACTGAGTTCTGACAGTGTAGTTACATTCTCTGATAAATTCTAAGGTTTATATATGTGTTTAATTTAATTAAATGATGTGTAGAATAATTTAAATAATTAGGTCAAATATTGATTAATTAAAAAGTCAACTAAGTTAAAAAGTAAGCGTCTAACTTTACACCTAGGCTTAATCTTTGGTCAAAAATGAATGTCTTACTTTGTTTGCTATTTGTGACATGTAATTATGTTATTGTATGATTAGTTGGTCAAAAGTTCAACTGTATGATGTGTAAAGTGAAAACCAATGGAAATTAAGTTACTTTAAGCTTTGAAAAAGTCAAAATTTGTGTGCTATCTTACCTTTACAAGACCAATTCGATTTGTGTCTTGTTTTCCTTCATTTCCATGATGAAAAATCTGATGGAGCAAGTGGGAGTCTTGTCTTGGAAGCTTGGTTAAATTTGAATAAAAATATCTAAGTTAAAAAGTGAAAAAGTAATGAAAACTTAACCTTTAAGCCTTTGAATTTCAAACCACTTGTCATTTTTTCTTTCTTTCTTTCAAAACCCATGACACCTCCATGTTTTCTTCTCCTTCCATGGCCGTGGGCTTCAAGGGTGAGAGAGCTTGAGAAAACTTTGATTTCTAGCCATTATTTCAAGAAAGTTTCAACATGAAAAAGATTCCTTATGAGCTTGTGAGCAAAAGCCCTAAAACCATACACCTTCTAGCCTTGTATTGAGTGAGATAATCCCTCCTAAAGGTTGAACATGGTTGCTTCCCTATAGTGTTTTGGATGATTTTTTACTTAGTTTTTGTGTTGGAAAAGCTCAAGGTTACCTAAAGGAAGCTATACAAGGTAATTGCTAATAATTTTGTTGATTTGATGATAATTTATGAACATTCTTGTGTTCAACGTGAATTTCTATGTATGTTAATGATGAATTTTGAAGTGGTTTTGTTTTGGAAATTGGTTGTTTAATCTTGTAAATCAAAGATAACATCTTGAATTCTTGAAAAATTACAAGAATCAAACCTAACCATAACCTTTCAAATTCGGCCATGAATAGTAAATTAGGGTTTGATATGGTTTGATGATGTTTACATGTTAATTGATGTGGTGTGATGTTTAATTGATGATTTAAAGTTTACTTAATGGTTTATATGTTAAGAAAAAT